CCCCCCCCAATCACGCGCAATAATTTACTTGCCATGTTACCATAGAAATAGCCAAACTAGCCACAGGGATGAGGAAAACACAAAAGGTAAATCAATCGCTTTCTTCTGAGGGTTGCTACAGCATGTCCACAACAACACACACAAACAAGCCTAGGCTACGAGGTGTTTTTCCTTGCAAAGAAGAGGAATCAGTGTGAAAACTAAAATAACAGCGAACATTGCGGGCTGACCCAGCATCGGGTTTTATAAAATGAGTTTAATAACGCACACACGCCAAAGACTGAATAAATATATGTTGATACCGAAAGAACGATAAAAAGTGGTACATTCAGACGTAATTCATCTATTAGATGGCTAATTTTGAAGACTTACCATTGTGGATTTGGTTCTGTCTGAAGAGTGAGTAAGTAATCCTAGTGCTCCGTGCGGTGAGTCAACACAATCACTTCCGTATCCGCGTAATTTCTCTTTGGCGCCTTCAGAAATTCGTCCGCTGATAGGGGAGCACAGTTAACACAAAAACAGTATAGCCTTTTCAAATCAGAACACCTGAAAGGATACTTGGTTATTTTCAAGCTTAGAAGCGTGACACTTCGCTCATGAACAAAACCAAGAAATGAATGATATTCCTCGAACTACTTCCTCAGAAATTAGCATCCATTCGTACACCGGTCACTTGACTACACAGCCACAGCTTCCGCGCCAAATGTTTCTAACGCGACTGATATGTAACGGGGAACGGGATTGGTTGGCGGGCATCTGCAATGCGACATTGGCTCATTCGCTCACAATGTCGGAGGAGAGGCGAGGTGGAGGGAGGGTCGGATTCAAGCACTGGCAAATCAGATTTACTCGTTGTGTGTTGTAAAATTAATTCTGTTGTTTTACTTTATATAAATTAAATGTGTAGTTTGTTATAGAAGGTTACTCACTGATTTATTTATTTAAACTAAGGAGTTAATGAATGGGTTTACAATCAATCACAAAGAAGGCCTAGGCCTACGTTGCCTTTCAACTGAGAACCCGATAGGTGTGCAAGCTCAGCGAGAGTAGGTCATGACGGGTGGTGGGGGTTATAAGTTTGTTGTGTGTTATTTTTCACACCGGTCAACAATTTTCTTTCTTTTCTCTTTCTCATAAAAATAAAAGTGGAAGCAAAATGTTTTTTAACAGGCAGATTTTCAGCCCAGACAACATTCTGTTGAAACATCATAAACACACACCGCGAGTGACACATGATAAAATAGATAAGCTGAACGGTGGAGTAGAGGATGAATGTGTTGGCCTATTGTTTGTTGTGATAAAGGGTTCAGATCGTGTCAAATGCAAATGTTTTGTTCTTGTACGCCCAAGCCTGGGTTGGGGGAATAAAGTCCACAGGACTAGACTACATGAAGATGTACATGTAGTTTTGGGATTTTATATCTGACAAGGGAAACGGAAAGTGTTTCTTCAAATTGTTGATCACAATACTTTCATTTTTAGTGTTTTTATCATGTATGACACAACATGATGATGATGTAAAAAGTCCCCCATGGCAGCTGAGAATGGAGACTTCACAAATACACACATAGTACATGTATGTAAACACGCGCACGCGCTCACACACGAGCGCACTCGCTCATAATACATACCCACACACCCACACACAATGTGTGTATGTGTATCATGTGTTTGATATAATAATATGTCAGTACCCCCCCCCCTAAAGGCAGACAGAGATAATAAGAGCAAGCGGGAGAGGGCACGAGCGCACTCGCTCATAATACATACCCACACACCCGTGTGTGTGTGTGTGTGTGTATCATGTACTGTGGGACAGGCCCCCCTGACAGAACACGCCTGATGC